GAACCCCCTTTTAACCCCCAAAAGGAACGGGACTTAAAAAATGAAAAAATTTTTTTCCACAAAAAAAAACGACCGAATGGAACCCCAAAACCCCAAAAAAACCCCAAACACCCAAAGAAACCAAAGAAAAATTTGGCTCCCATCAGAGAAAACGGCCGACAGCTACCTCTTACCCCATTGGGAGTCCATGACTAAAAGAACTAACCAAAACCACACACACCCAAATGAACACACCCTATTCCCAACCTAACCAAAACAAACCCCAACAACACGAATACACCCTGGCTCAAATACAAGTCCCGGAGCCAGAGTGTGACAGCAAGGCTGCCGCCAGACAACATCCCTAGCTGCGTCCTCAGAGCATGCGCAGACCAGCTGGCTGGTGTGTTTACAAACCTATTCAATCTCTCCCTATCCCAGACTGCTGTCCCAACATGCTTCAAGATGGCCACCATTGTTCCTGTACCCAAGAAAGCAAAGGTAACTGAACTAAATGGCTATCGCCCCCGTAGCACTCACCTCTGTCATCATGAAGTGCTTTGAGAGACTAGTCAGGATCATATCACTTGTACCTTACCTGTCACCCTAGACCCACTTCAATTTGCTTACCGCCCAATAGATCCACAGACGATGCAATCGCCATCACACTGCACACTGCCCTATCCCATCTGGACAAGAAGAATACCTATGTAAGAATGCTGTTCATTGACTATAGCTCAGCATTCAACACCATAGTACCCTCCAAGCTCATCATTAAGCTCAAGGCCCTGGGTCTGAACCCCACCCTGTGCAACTGGGTCCTGGACTTCCTGACGGGCCTCCCCCACTTCGCTGATCTTCAACACTGGGGCCTCACAAGGGTGCGTGCTCAGCCCCCTCCTGTACTCCCTGTTCACCCATGACTGCGTGGCCAAGCACGCCTCCAACTCAATCATCAAGTTTGCAGACGACACAACAGTAGTAGGCTTGACTACCAACAATGACGAGACAGCCTACAGGGATGAGGTGAGGGCACTGGGAGTGTGGTGCCAGAAAAAATTACCTCTCACTCAACGTCAACAAAACAAAGGAGATTTCTGGTTTGATTGGTGGTTTATTAATTCCCTTGATGTTCCCTTGTGATGATTCAACATTATGATGTGCATCTCATGAACATGAATACAAGCCTGTTTTAAGTGCAGGAGTCATACTGTAGAGATTAGACTGTGAGGATATGTTGCACTGTTTCTGCATTCTCTCTTCTCAGATATTTTCTTCTCTACCTGGTGCCCCTCATCAATCCATAATGAAAAATAATGAGTTTCTTCGTGACACTTCCCCAAAACTTAAGACTATCACCTCAGTGTTTCAGTTGGTGTCCTAGACCTAGTGAAATAACCCACTAAGTCTAGCATTGCACTAAAACCTTGACGTGTCCTGGGCGCAACTATACCCCTTTATGATGACTCCATTCTCATCTGTCCCTTGTTACACTGACTCCATACATCCTCTTACATATCTCCGGTATAAACATAATGTTGATCTTTCCTCTTCCTAGTAAACCTCTCTGGACTCCTCTATTCCCCCTCCTATCGCTCACATTTCAAATTCTTCCTAGTTTCTAAAAACCTTAAAATATGTTTTTAACCTCAAGAGTTTTCCGTCCTACCCCTCCATCCCTCTAACTAAAACTCAGGCCTATGTGATGGTTGTGTTGAGTCAGGTGAGAAGCCCAGGGTTGCTCGGTAAATTAACGTATTAGTGCAGCATTGCAGTGGACTTTAGTGGGTCGTTGTTTTCCATTCAGTGAAGCAATTTGGGAGCAGAATCTTTATGAAGCGACTCTGTTCTGTTCACTACTGCCTTTCCCCTGTGTTCCCCAAAGGATATGAAAGCCCCCCGTCCCCAGTGAAAGTTGCGCCCCTGCTGGAAAATCTATTCTCTCCACATCAAGGTAAAAACAGTACATCAAATACACTGACACAATTCTCTTTTCTATACTATGCTGTAATGACTAGTCCAATATTTTTTTTACATTTCTTTACATTTTTTGTCATTTAGCAGACGCTCTTATCCAGAGCGACTTACAGTTAATGAGTGCATACATTTTCATACAATATGACTGAATTATCTAACTGCTTCTCTGTAAAGACACAGACAGAGGACATTTGTGACGTAATATGCTACATTCTCAGTGAAAATAGCCCTTGACCAAAAAAGTGACTTTAGGTGAAAAAATTGTTTCGCTCCTGAAACAGCAGAGCAGTGAGTTTTACCATCATTAATAATGCAAGCTTTCACAAATACAATGAGTCAGAAGAGGCTACAGCAGGAGGCTGCACCTCACGTACTAAATACACATCTCTGCCTACAGATGTAGGATCTTTATTTGTGCCAGTTTGCTACAGCAAGAAAATAATCGTGCAGCAACAGAAAATGTGAATTATGATGTGGATTATAATAAACATTTCGTAGGGGTTGATACATTTTTCATTAGGGCAAATCAAGTTTTGCATTTTAAAGTGGAAATTACAAACTTTAGATGCCTTTTTAAGCCTCAAATACACTACAAGTTTGCATTTCCTGCAGTGCAGGAAAATTCTCAGCAACAAAAGAGTGATCAAATTAAGATCCTACATCTGTATTCAGACAGCTAGTAGAGCTGGCAAGGCCTTACTAATGGGAAAGAGGCTGGGAATGTGTGTCATTGAGGACAGAAGACATACACACATATCCACTTTGTCCCAGCAATTGCCTCTCTCTCTCCGCTGGAAGCGCAAGGATCAGAGTGCATGCCTTTTTTGCTACTTTTTCCAAATCTGCAATATAGAGTCACATCATGCAGCCCATATGCTTTCATTTCTAAGACATTCCCAGGTTTATAGGCCTCTCACAACTAAATACATAATTTTATTGTTATGGTGTAGGCTGTATTAAATTGATTACCGTCTGACAGAATTTCATGACCGCCACGGCCCTAGGTCCCCCACACACACACACACACACACACACACAAACA